AAGGCACTGCGAAAAGAGAAAAAATGCACTACAGTCAAATTCAGTTAGACGAGAATAACGATATCCCTGGTGAAAATGATAAAGTTAAAACTTTTCCGCAAAAACAGTTTTGATGTAATATGGTGGCTAATAGCTAAAAATATCAATTTCCGTTTTAGTATTTTGCTTAATACCTCATACACCTAATACTTCAGACCAAATACTTTGGCAATTTACATTTTATTTCAGATCACAGCCAACAGTGTTAAAGATACCAGGACCGCTAGGATTATTGTTGTCATCAACATTATCTCATCACTATCAATATCATCGCCAGTTACTACCAACATCATTACTATTATTATTGTTGTTTTTGTTTCTATTGTTATTGTTGTTATCAACACCATCGTTATTATTATTCATACTACTATTTTCATTGCGATTTATCACTATTGTTATTATTTGTCTTTTCGAGCCCTTAAATTTAAAGCCTAAACCGTGTATCATTCGCTAGAACAATACTGAGGGACTTTTTCGTTATTTTTTTCAGACATCTCAGAAATTTCAAGTTTTTGACGGCAAAACCTGTGTGGTAATCGGCGCAATCGGACTAGCGCAAAGCGCTCATCCGCGAGCACATCAAACGACGTACAATTCTCATAAGCAGGGTGGATGAGGTAAAAGCTGAAGATTGCCCGAAGTACCAGGGTACGACACTTTTCCAAGCGTTCTTATTGCACTGGGTAGGAAAAAACACCAGTACCTGTTGAGCTTCGGTGAAACCAGATATCCCGGGACTGCTGGAAGTGTCTTTGGGCTTGGAAAGATGCGCAAGCATTGAGTCCGAGGCCGACGAAAGCGCCGCGAGTGGCGGTGACTGTTTGGACGGTGGAAAAGCAGAGATTTCGGGTACGATTTCGGTCGGTGTAGTAGAGCCACTAGATGAGCTACTGCTGCCCCATGACAAAGAACTGGGTAAACTGCCGGACGCTAGCGAATCGCTGCTCGAACTGCTGGACGGTCTAGGCTTGAACGGTTGAGTCCTTGACGTAGCTCGGGACAATCCGAAATCATCGTGCATCGGGTCAAATCTATTCTAAAATAAAAAGAGGACGACAGCTTCGGCATCTGCGGTCGAAAACAAAACCTGGATTTCGAATTAAGAACCCGCAGTGCAAAAAAGCACCCACTTGCCCCTTCAAAATAATTCAGTCATCCTGAGACTGGTCAGAAGGGCTGATTTGTGCTAGTAGGATATTGTCATCCGAACCTTCATTCTCGAAAACCTCTATTTATCATACAGAATGATCCTGGATGGGGGGTTTGGATTTTGGAATTCAACCAAAAGGCCGAAAAAAAATTCTTCTGCAAGCTCAAAGGAAATTTTCGTGGTTCATCAAGAATTTTCAAAGCTCTGCCTTTTAACCACCGAGTGAGCGAGGGAAACTTATGCGCTAATAGGGAAAACAAAAGACATGCAATTCTTCTGGATAAACGGGCTCGGCACTGGTGTGTCCAGGGTGTAAGTGGAACCCACTAGCACCAGAGTACCAGGCTGACAACCCCTGCAATTCTAGCGAAACCAAGCAAACACCAGAGACTCTTATTGCTCATTCTAAAGCCCGAAGTCCTAAAATACTGAGAAATAGGGAAGAATGCACCCAACTCATATCCAGCAAGATGAAAAATATTTTTTCTCCCGCAAAATAATGAGAAGGGTCAAAATCTTCGCGGGAAACTTAGGCTAAACATTTCACGATGCATGATATGCGTGTCAGTTTGGCTAATGATACTTTGCTTACGTACTGTATACTCTGTGGTCAGTAATTTGACATTATACATTTTGTGCTCAATTGCAATTCTTTCTGACGCCTCTCGGATGACGAGCGTGGGAATCTCATTTTAGTGATGTTACTGGGATGTTTCCACACGCCGAATGCGGCTATGCCAGGCCCTGGACTAAACAATTACTATTACAGTTTAGTGCTGCAAACGTTAAGTGACAATAGCATAATAGCAACCGCGATCTGAGCGTAGTGGCCCCATGTCTTCATGTGATTCTTTCGCAATCAATATATTGTAGTTATTAACAACGTAAGTTTTAAGAACGGTATTTTTTGGCTGGGCAAACTATGGGCTAAAATTGTTAACTGTGATTAAGCGAAAACAATAATGCCTGTGATAAGAACTGTGACAATTGTAGTGATAATGATAGACAACAAAAGTGACTGTAATAATCAATGAGATTAAACAATAATTTTCTGAGCAAATTATTGATACCTGTTTTTTACCATTTAATCAACAACAGTTCCAATATGCCGAATTTTCAAAGCTAAAGGAATGTAGAGGAAGTGAGATCATCAAAATGAAAGGATTCGCTTGAATAATATACTCATGGATCGATGTGAAAGCGCAAGCTCAAAACAAAGAAGAATGGAGAAATGGATGACGGCAAAATGCATTACTGGCAATGCGAAGCCCGAAAGTTCAACATATCAAATAATTGACCAACGCACGGGGGCTGGCTTTGAGCCCACTAATACCGGGTTGGGCGGAGAACATTACCCTAAGATTTCAGCCTTCTAGCTTCTCAGATTCCCGAGTTATGCACTTTCCCGAAAAAAATTTTGGCGGGCTCGTACGCGGGTTCCAAGCTTACCCAGGGGCTGGGTTTGAGCTCACTAATACCCGGCTGGGCGGGGAACATTATCCCAAGATTTCGGCGTCCCAGCTTCTCAGATCCCCGAGTTATGAACTAACTCCAAAAAAACTTTGGCGAGCCCGTACGTAGGTACCACGCGGGTTTTGGCGCCCATTTTGGGGATTGGGGCGGTACGTGCATGTAGATTAATTTCCCGAAATTTCAGTCCCGCAACGTTTATAGGTCCTGAGATGAAAGTGCGTGACAGACGCACACACAGACACACAGACAACCTTTCGTTAATATGCGTTTTTCGCATTGCATTGGTGCAAAAAACGCATAAAAATAATGCATTATTTTTCAGTGTTTCTAGCATAATTTTTTGGAAATGAGCTATTCTCTAGTAAGGAAGGGCTTCAAGCGGTAAAAAAAAAAAGAACAGGAAGGAAGAGGGAAAAGATAAAACTGCGATGTTACAAAGAAAAAGGGAACAAAAAATAGCTATACCGGTACATCTTCGCAGGCATATTGCTCCGATAAAACCGGGGACGATAAGATATAAGATGTTGAGCTGTAATTATAGACACTTTTGTCGAATGGATTTTCGAACGGAAAATTCGCTGATGGCGTAGA